GGATGGCCGCCGTAGTTCAGTTCCAGAAACTCACATGGTGGGAAGCAGAGTCAACTCCCACAAGCTGTCCTCTGACCTCCACATGGGCGCCAGGACACCACTGCAATCACCCGAACAAAGTAAATCCAATTTAATTAAAATCACACTGTCACATTTTTGTCACAAAATAAATCATGAACTGAAACACATTTCTCTGTGTCTAAGGGGGAAAATACTTACATTCCAGAAAGGAAGAGATGCTGAGGAAAATTTGGTCTGGTGACCTCAGCCCCTTAGGACCCAAAGGGGCCATGTTTACCTGACACCCCCTCATTGCCCATGGACAAGACTATTGGACTTCTTTTGAAGAGATACTGTTGTAGGCTGAACAGAAGGCGCAACTCTCACTTTTCCAAAGACTCCCTCCCTCACATGACACTCAAACTTCCTTTGCAATGGAGGGATCTAGAAGATCTGCTGAACAAACTCCTCAGGCCAGAGAAGTAGCATCCAGAGAGCTCAGGAGGGCCTGACCGTGACTGACAGCTCGTTCAGTCATTAAGACTGCGAGCACACGCACACACACATACACACACACACACGCGCACACGGAGAATTCCCACACAAGCCCCAGGGAAACTGGCTGTCATATATCCACTCTCCAGTAGAGAAGGGAGTGAGAATAACAGAGAGTCTACTCGAAAGAAGAAAAATGAACCTTAAAGTAGCTATGGACTACAAGAGCAGGGAGCGATCATATACTTATTTTATATTTATAATTAGAAAACAATCTTTTCCCAAAGGCTAAGGAGCAAAGAAGGTAAGAAAACACAATTTAATTCTTTTATTTCTTCCCATGTTTGCTTTGTGCAATATGTCATTACTGCTTATGAAGTGCTTTCAGATAAATCATCGGTCGCTGGAATGACAGAACCCACAAAATTAAGTGTTTTAGGGGGAACCATATTTGGAAAAAGATTATTCCTGCTAAGACTTAGAAATGCAGTCCTGATTCTGACCACATGCTTCTTGGTGGAAACTGTCTGCCTTCTAACAGCCGTCAGGACAGTGTCAGTGGGTCTGGGGAAAGCTGGCTGGAGACACCTCTTTCTCTCTCCCAGCAGCTTGGACTGGGTTCTGAACTGATTGGCAAGGGTGAAAATGAGAATCAAAAAATAGTATTTCAGGCCATCTGATTTGCTCAAAAGAGACAGTGGGTGTGTCCAGACTGGTGTGGTCTTGAGGACATCCACCCCGGGTATAGCAGCAGGCAGGGCCTCCCCCCCATCCCTCGCCCACCCACCCCCTGCCCCCGGGTCCGCTCTGCCCAGGAGGCCGTCTATGCACCATGTCAGGCTGCCCAAGGTTTCTGTAGGGAAACTCAGGGCATGATTGCCTGTGTCATACGCCATGAATTTAAGGCTTGGAATCTCTCACTTGAACTTTTTTACACCATCCCTCGTGCGTGCCAGAAAAAGAACAGCTGCCAGAAAGCAGACATGTTCCTGTCTCTAAAAATAAAACTCTGGCAAGGCTTCATGCCCCCGGTGCCAAGACCAGGCCCTACCCAGGGTAAACAATAGATGACCAAGCCTAGGGGAGGCAAATACTGGCCTACAGTAGGCCTGTGTCTGGCAGGAAGTGCTCTGGCCAGAGCATTTGGAGCTGGAGACTAGGGAGCCCAGCGCCCCCCCAGCGGATGTGGACAGCTGCTAGCCCCAACCCAGGGCCAGGTGTGGCCGAGAGGGAAGGCCCCCAATTATACTAGAGACTGCCTCAGCAGAGGTCACAGAGCCCCTCCGCATCCTGCCCTCAAAGCCATGGTGTAGGCCTGCCTGGTTGTTGCGGGGCAGGGGAAGCTCCCGGAAGGAGAAATCGTGCCTTTGCCTCCAATGCCTCCTAGGCCCAGCTGAGAGCCTTGTCTGTGAGATGCCGACCCACAGTACTATACTAGCAGCTAACTTTCCTGCTTTAATTGTTTCTCTCAATTTTCCAAATGCTCCTGTAGTGCACGTTAAGTGCCCGTGCCCTGTCATTAGGGTTCAAGTCCTCTCTACACCAGTCACTGGCTTTTTGCTTGTTTGGGGGCTTGGGAGGGCTGCGCGGAGAGGAGACCCAAATTCAGCAAACATTCCCAGGCATAATCATTCCATAGATGTGCTTCAGAAGGCCAGAGTGCAGGGCTGATCCACATGACGGATGTCACCCACCCGAGTGTCACGCCATAAATAAAACCGAATGGGCCCATCCTCCAACAGAGTTGGAGTGACGTGTTCACACTATACATGTTTATGAAGTCGTCGTTCTGAGACTCTGTTTTTCCAGGTAAGCAGTCTTTGATGACAAAGTTAAGCAGAGACTCCCCTGAAAGTGTGGACGAGTCGGCATTGCTTAGTGGTGGGTACTTCACAGAACGCCGAGAGGGGAAGGGGAAGCAAGCCTGCGTTCCTCAAGGCGTCTACGTGTGGGATCTCATTTGCGTCCCTCGGAGTTCTCATTCAAAACATGACAGCCTTCGCTGGAGTGAGGGACACCGGAAGAAGACTCCAGTTGGTTCTGCTCGGGAAAAGGTGATGAAGAGAGAGCCTGGCAGACCCTGGTCGCCCGATTTCGGGCCCGTCCCTCCGCCCTGCTGCAGAGGCTTTCTCCTTCGCTCTTACTTAGCCTGTCTTAGTAACAGAAAAAGATGTATGCCTCACTCCATCACCATGCTCACAGGAAAGGAATCCTAGAATGCGTGGATGCCCGCCCGGGTGACTGAGTGCTATACACAGCCCGCCGGGTGAGCCCCTTCATCATCCACACGCCTTCACACTCTCTGCTCCCCTCCACCCTAGGCACTGCGACAATCCTGAGACCTTCACACGCACGCACGCGCGCACGCGCGCACGCGCGCACACGCACACTCACACGCACGCACTCACGCACCACACACATGCACACGCACGCGCGCGTGCACACACATACACGCACGTGCACGCACGCACACGCACGTGCACACACACGTACACTCACACACACACGCACACACGCGGACGCACACACACACGCGCGCACGCACCACTCACACACACGCACACACGCGCACGCACACGCACACACGCGCGCGCACACACACCAGCCATTGTCCCCACCCCAAAGCTCGCTCATTGCCTTGTCACTTTAAAGCCTACTGGATATTCATCTCCTGAAGGCACCGGTGCCCTTGGCCCAGCAATAAGCCCGCCTCTTCCCGGGGCAAAGGGTGGCTTTTTGCTAGCACGACTTCCTGAAGCCTCAGGGTAGCACTGGCTGCATCCCGTGGACCTGGCCCCAGCCCAGGAAGCCTTGCCTAGGCTTCACAAAGTGAGTCACAGGCTGCCTTGCCACCCGGTGTGGGGAGGCCAGGGCCGCCATGTATGGTCTGTGCTCCTCTCCACCCACCCCTCCATGTCACTCCGGGTTCTTTGCCAGGACAGCCTGAGTCATAAAACTCAGCGCATTCCTTAGGTGTTAGGTCGTCTCTCCTCCGCGTTAGTCCTTTGCCTTTGTTTTAGGCAGCACCTGGTTTCATTTTAAAAATCCCAAATAAAATCACCCTGCCAGGGAGGGGGTGGGAAGAGAACAGAGGAAAGCAAAGGAAAAAGGGGGGACCTGGGAGGAAGCTCGGCTTGCTGGGAAGCCCAGTCGAGGACCAGGACGCCACAAACTGATTCCCTTTAGCTGCCTGGAATACCTGGCGGCCGGGTCTCCTCCCTCTCCTCCCTTACCCAGGCCACAACACAGTCAGTGCTATCCCCACGGGCCACGCGACCCTCCCCAGACCCCTCAGTTTTCCACTCAGTAAGCTAATCTTTAATAAACCCCAAGGAACTTTCCAGATACAGCGCGCACTATGATTCCTTAGATCGCCCTGCCTCCTTTATCTAACTCATTGTGTGAGGCTGGTTCTTTTTTCCCCCTTAAGCTAACTTCTTTTTTTTCCCCCCTGTTCTGTTTTTCCTGTAGGGTAGGGGAAATCAGGGACAGGCGCAGAAGGCGCAGACTCAATGTGGCTGGTCACACGGAGTCTCTGTGGCCAGGTTATTTCTGTAAATTTGTCTGTAAAGCCGTTGACATTGATTTTCTAGGATCGAAACAGAATTCTAACGAACTCTGGCTGGCATGCGGTAAAAAAAAAAAAAAAAAAAAAAAAGAAAAGAAAAGAAAGAAAAGGCACAGCGAACACCGGGGCGCTGAGAAAGCCTCGCCACGGATGAGTGTATCCCTGGGGGTGGTGACGACGGTGACGCGCAGTCACTATGGTCCTCGGGGGCCAGCCGGGGCGCCTACCCAGAGGTCCCCTCGCTCTGCGTGTGCAGGGCAGCCCGGGGGAGCCTCCCGAGCGGCCCCGGGCTGCGTTTTCAATGCACGGTCCTGGCGAGCTTAATGGAAACCACATGAAGGGTTCCCGGGAAGCAGACCAGATGGCTCCCAGGGAACGTGTTTAGCCCAACCTGGGCTCAAGGGAAAAAGAAATAATGGTGGTGGTGATGATGGCTGGCTCGTGTGGGGCGGTTAGGGGTTAGGGTGAGACTGTTTTCTGTGCAGCAGGAGCCACGGGTCGGAGGACAGGCTGGATGAGGGCCGCGGGGCCGCGGGGTGGCAGCGGAGGGCGTGGCAGTGGGGTGGGGCGGGGCGGGGCGGGGTCCTCCCGCGCCAGGTCCCGCCGTGCTGCAGGGCGACCGCGGGGCTGCGTGGGGACCTCGCGGGGGCAGCCGCAGCAGGAGAGGAGGCGCAGGGCCGTGGGCGGCGCCGTGGGCGGAGCCGTGGGCGGCGCCGTGGGCGGTGCCGTGGGCGGCGCCGTGGGCGGAACCGTGGGCGGCGCCGTGGGCAGGGGAGCCAGAGGGAAATCTGGCCGAGGAGGGCCTTCTCTTCTGAGCGGTGGCTCCGGAAACCGAGGAGTCTTTCTCGGACGGAAGAGGCCAGGCAGGGTGGCTCTGGGGCCCGCCATGGTGGCGGTCGCACCATCATTTGTGAGGTTCTAATGGGAGACTTGGCAGTTACTTTGAAGGAACATTTAATCATGATCATGACAGCGCCCTCGCTACCAGTGTACATATTCACACACACACAGACACATGCACACACACATGCACACACACGCGAGCACACATGCACACACGCACACACACGCATGCACACACACACGTACACACACCTCCTGCCTTAATGGGTTAATGCAGGAACTAGGGCCCTACATCGTTCTTCAAGTCAGTTGAACATCGGCAGGGAGCCTCTGCCGTAATCGGAGTATTGATCCGTCTCTGAGTCCTCCGAGGAGCCAAACTTGCTTTCATAATCCCATTGTCGTCGCCCAAGCTGGAGGGGGAAAACAGGCCCGATTGTCAACACTCGCTCATCCGCAAAGGTCACTGTTCCCGCAAAATTGGGAATTAAATTGTCTCTTTCAAAGCAGACATCATTCACGCGGAGGGGCTGGCATCTTCCATCTCTTAAAAACACCCTTTCTGTTTTGTGTGCCTCAGTCAGGAAGGACAGATCAATAAGCAAGGCGAATTTAGAAAGACAAGAACTCTTGGGATCACTAAAGACCTGCTGATTACAATCTCCTACCCACCCTTCCCACCCCACGCAACTCCCTTAGCCAGGCAGTCCTGGGTGTGAATTCTCAGTCCTATATCATGAACTTCTCCAAATCAGGGCCCAAGATTATAGATAGTTCGAGGACCAAAGGCCCTCGTCACCAAGCAGACTTTTTAAAGGGAAGATCATTGGTGACCCGGCAGCTCTTGCTTCTTTCCTCAGTACCTGTTTAACAATATTTTCAATTTCAGGGCTGGAGGGATGGGTCAACAGCTAAGAGCACTGGCACTGGTTCTACTCCCAGCATCCATATGATGGCTCACCTCCAGGAGCTTGGTGGTACCTTCTAGCCTTTTCGGGTATCAGGCACACTAGTATACAGACATACATGCAACTCGTACACATAACAAACAGCAAAATAATGACAATTTTATTTTAAAATTGAAATATTTTGCTTTACTTATTTTTAGTAAGGATTCTAGGCTCTACATTTCTCAGATAAGTCTCACATATTTATTGTATTTGACAGAGGGGGGAGAAGGGGGAAGGAGAGAGAGATAGATAGAGAGACAGAGAGAGGGAGGGAGAAAGAGGGAGAGAAAGGGAGAGAGACAGAGACACAGACAGAGACAGAGAGAGCACTTTTAGACTATTAGTACATCACAAAAAAAAAGTATGAAAATGTGTTTAGGGGAAGGGTTAGGAAAATTCCTGACAGAGGAGGGCATGTGTCCCTCAGCACAGCTGAGACACTGGTTGGCGATAGAATTGCCTATCCTCAGAGCAACTCCATGCAGCAAGAGGGAATTACTTAATAGTAGTTAATCATTCCCTCAGACAACTCCCAGGAGGAGACTGAGAGCAACATGCTTTCAAGAAATCATCTTCCCCTCCCAGAAGAGAGCCCCAGCCCTCCAGAGAAGCAGGTCCTTAACTGAGTGCTCAATGAGCTTTCAAGACCCCCCACAGCTTCTGGGGACCCCTTGTGTCTCACCCCAACAACCTCATGCATCCCCCTCCACAGCCCCACAGCGCTGCATACCAGAACTTAAGTGGTCAAGTTATCCTTTCTCCCTAACACACATAGCTAGCATACCAAGCCCATGACATCACAAATATAATTACTTAGCATGAAACTGAGTTGTTTAAATTCAGCTTAAACAAAGGGTATAATAAAAATCGTGGGATAGCTAAAATTATTGCTTTGTTTTATCATAAATGAAGTCAGTAGGGCACACAGAGAAAACAAATTTTCTTTGCTTTTTAACCTATTCTTTAGGAATCCCTGCCAGAGACTTGTGTTTGAGTTTTGTGGGTGTGCTTGTGTGTTTGTGTGTTGATGTGTGTATGGATGCCTGTGTGTGACCCTGTATGTGTGTTTGTGTGTGGTGTGTATGTGCCTATGTGTACCTGTGTGTATGTTTGTGTGTGTGTGTGCGCACGCGTGTGTGTGGCATGTGTATGTATGTGTTCATGTGTGTGTGCATATCTTTGCGTGTTTGTGTGTTGATGTGTGTATGTGCCTGTGTGTACCTGTGTGTATGTTTGTGTGTATGAGTGTGTGTGTGTGTGCGCGCGCGCGTGTGGCATGTATATGTATGTGTTCATATCTTTGTGTGTTTGTTCATGTGGGTGTACTCACCTGTGTGTCTGTATGTGTTTGTGTGCCGGTGTGTGTGTGAACATGCATGTGCTTGTGGGCATCAAAAAACAACTTCTTGATCCTCAGATGTCATCTGCCTTGTTTCTCGAGACAAGTTCTCTCGCCGGCCTGCTGTCTGCCCAGTAGGCTAGGCTGACCGGCCAGTGAACCTTAGGGCTCCATCCACCTGCATCTGCTTCCTCCTCACAAGGAATTTCTAGCCCATGGCACTACACCCAGCTATTACGTGACTAAAGGAAGGGCTGCTGTTTCCAAGGCAGACGCTTGACGGCTGAACTGCCACCACCCCGGCCAACCCCTTCTGCCAGAATCCTAAGGCAGAAATGGACCTCACTTAATGTCTGTTTTAAAAGCACTGGGATTTGCCGGGCGGTGGTGGCGCACACCTTTAATCCCAGCACTCGGGAGGCAGAGGCAGGCGAATCTCTGTGAGTTTAAGGCCAGGCTGGACCGACAGCCTCCAAAACAATACAGAGAAACCCTGTCTCATAAAAACCAAAAATAATAAATAAATAAATAAATAAATAAATAAATAAATAAATAAAAGCACTGGGATTTGAGAGGCCTGATGAGTCCAGTCAGAGTCCTGGTCAGGGGAGGCCATATCAAGGAGATCAGGGACAACCCACACTGGGACACCGGGCAGGCAGGGGAAACTGGAAGTACTGGGGCACTGGGCACCCAGGGTGGGCCCCCAGGGAGGCAAGACGACCTGAGAACTTAGTGGATCCGTCACAGGAGCCAGAGCCCTCAGCCCTCATCCCCTGTGGGGAGTCCCCGTCCCCAAAGCCTCTCTGAAGGCTGTTTCCTGAACCACACAGGTCTGCACAGGCAGTGTTTGGAGACCTCTCCTCAGAGCAGCCCATCTTCCGGCAGAGTCTAAAGGAAGGTTATTTTCCTAGGACCTAAGCCCCCCACACTTCCACTCATGCACTCACATACACCCAGGGGCGGAGGCGGGTGTTAATGACAACATAAACTTACTTGTTTCAGAAGATTTTTCCCTCTAGCCCTGTATCTCATGAGGAGCTGAAGGCCTGGATTTGTGGGTTTCACACCTAGAGTGAAGACACATTCAGTGTCTAAGTGCTTCAGGCAGAGCAAAGTCTACTAGGAATAAGGAAGGAACTGACTGGAGTTTTGTTTTCCCTACTGAGGGCGAACCCACAGTCTTGCCCAAGCTAGGTAAATCACGGAGCTACGCCCTCAACACTCTTTTTGCTGCTTTCCTTCTAGTTCTGGCGGTGTTCTGGTTTGATTCTTCTGAGGCAGGGTTTCACGTAGCTTTAGGTGGCCCTGAGCCTCCTGCCTCAGTCTCCTAAGTGCTAGGGTTACAGGCATTAGCCAGCACACCATGCCCAGCCCTCCTCCCTCCCCTCTCTCTTCTCCGACTTCCTCCCCCCAGTCCTCCCTGAGACAGCCACAGCATGTGGACTTAATACCCGGCTAGCCTTGAGCTCACAGAGACGGCCGCTCTTCTGCCTCCCGGGTGCTGAGGTTGAAGGTGAGCTCCACACTCAGGCTTTTTACTTTTCATTTTGAGACAGCATCTCACTAAACTCCCCGGCCACACCTCAAATTGCAATCCTCCTGCCTCGGCCTCCTGAGAAGCTAGGATTGAATGCTACGTTACAAGGCTTGGCTTGTGATTTCCTGACACCCTGAAGCGCTTCTTAAGTCAGAAGCCCCAGGCCCTCACTGCAGTCTCCCCAGCCTCAGCAGCAGCTCCCCACAATGCTTATTCCCAGAGCTGCGGAGGTCAAATGTGTCTGCTGGATCCCTGTCCCCTGTCAGATCTGACCCTGCTTTCTTCATGCTGGGTCTCACAAAGTGAAGTAGCAGGGTAGGTGGGAGGGCGGGGGCGGCAGTGGGGGGCTCTACTAAACGGCCCCTGACCCTGGAAGTCGTGAGAACAGCAGACAGAGGTAACAGCCCTCAAAACCAAGACTACAAGCAGATAGGACTGACAGCTTATTGGTGGATCGCATTGGGGGGAGGGGACACTTACGAAAAGCTCTGTAATCCAGAAGTGTTGAAAAAGGAGGCTCAGAACCCCAAACCTGATGTGCCTGGAAGACAGAGAGTTGGGAATTAACACCAACCAAGGCGGGCGTGGGGGTACATGCCTGAGACCCCAGAACTGGGAAGGCTGGCACAGGGAGGCACTGAGATTGGAAGCCAGCCCGGGCTACATAGCAAGACTGTGTCTCCGAACCAAAACAAAACAACTGAGCCCAGGGTGGCTGAGAAGAGGGCCCTGTGGCTGAACAGCTCTAAGCTCAGCCCCATGGCACCTACCATAAAACTGTAGAAACCCAAAACCGGGGAAGTGCTGGCTAACCGTAGCGCTGGGGCTGGGGCAAAGTGAGGGTGGGGGCAGGGAGCAGACAGGCCGCCCCAGGGCTCACCACCAGCTAGTCAGTGAGCTCCAAGTCTGGTCACACACACACACACACACACACACACACACACACACACACACACACACACACACACACACTTTCCCAGTAATACGCATCTAACAAATTTCCTCTGCTGGTTGTTTTCCCATCCAGCATTTTGATGCTGCTGTCAGCATCCACTATACCCAGCAAAATGAAAAGACAAACTGGCTGAGGAATTTATGAATGAGGCTGAGCCAAAAAGTCCGGTCCTAGTATGTAGACAGTTTGTGAAAATCACTAACACAAACAAACAAAACCAACTATCCCGACAGAAACATGGGCGAAGGAAAACAGTCGTATTTCAGCTTCCGTGGGTTCCACACTGTGACTTCGCCTGCTTGCTGAAGTCTGTGTGTAACCGTGAGGTCAATGTAGCACTTTCGAGGTCACCGAGGAGCACACCCAGAGTGGAGAATGGAATCCCCTGCCATGTGCGCTCACGCCAAGGTCAAGCATGACCAGGAAGCCTTGGCCGCGCTCTCTTAGGTAATTAAATGTCCTTTTCTCGGTCTCTTTAGAACTCCCCTTCTGAGTTTTTGTGTTTCTTTGTTAGGGATGTTGCTGTTTAAAATGGTCCTGACCATCATGCTGAAGTACGGTGCAGGATCCAAAGCAAAAGAAGGCTGTGGTGCGCCTCTCAGGGAAAAGAACTCCAGTAATTAGCCTCCGCGGTAGCGGCACTGGCCCAAGTTCAACGCTAACAAATTGACCTATCTTGAACAGTCTTTGAACAGAGACATACATATAAAAATTAGGGATGGATTTTTAATTTTCAAGTCTTTTATAATAAAGATAATTTTAAAAACATACAAAACAAAGTTTGTATGTTGATAAATTGACAAAAACGAAACAAAAACGTTGTAACCAGAGATTTACGGAACCCAAACTTTACATCTCCCATGAGAGCAACTGTTTGCTGTTCATGAATGTGGTGTTCAGTTCAGCTTTAGAAAATGTGACTTCTGCAGATAATGAGAACCAACTATTGCTAATAAAAACACGCATGTAGCTAATAAACATGAGGGGAGAATCTTCATCTATCCAGGAAAAATTGACTATTCTCATCTGTTAAACTGGGAAACGCTGAGGTTATAATTATCTCCATCACCGTTGGAGGGGAAAACCCACCCTCACTGTGCATCCCAAGTTGACCTTGAACTTGTAGGGCTCTCTTGAATGCTGGGATCATAGCACGCACCCGTAGGCCTGGATTAAGGCAGGCATGAAAATAGAGGAAGGCATTGAGGCTGATACGGGGAGGCCATTTAGCTGTGAATAAAACCAGCTTACTTCCCAGCCCAAGCATTTTACTTCTGGAAATGCACTAAGATGAATTTACCATTGCATAAATGTGTTTATGATAACTTCTACCTATCGTAACACTGTTTATAATAATTATAAATACAAAACCCCTAAATGTATAGCAAATAAAAACAACAAGGAGAAAAGGAAAAAGGAAAAATGCTTGCAGATACGGGACATTTTTAAATTGCACTATGACCCATACAGGCTTATATGGGTCAAGTGATGATAAATGGTTATGTGTGTTAACAAGGATAGGTGTTCATAAATATATATATATATATTGATATATAAGAGCAGATTATAGAGGACAAGGTCCAGCACGACCTGGTCAACTTACTGGATACACGTTTATATGCAGACATATGATGTATATACAAGCATATCGATTTTTGCAAGCAGTGTGACTAAAATGGGTTATTATCTCAGAGAAAGAGGAAAAACTTCCCATGTTTTCATTCTCTTGAAATGCTGTGACTTGAACCCAGGGCCTTCTGAGGTGACAAGCATTTGCTTTGCCGCTGAGCCACACCCAAATCTTGTTTTTTGTTTTTCACTGTTTCCATTTCTAGCCTCTTCGTTGTTTGGGAGTTTACAGTCAGAGACTTACAAATTTACTATGCTTTTTGACACGTGCGGGAAAGAGACCATGTGGGAGAATGTGGTAACAGCCTCAGCCCAGCCAGTTGTTTGGTAACTGTGGTTACCTACGTATCCCCTACTAGGAAGCTACACACATAATGCCCAGGAAAAACCATTTGACAAACGAATATCTGTCTTTAAAACTCCTCCCCTTCGGGGTTGCTTTCCTATGACTAGTAAGCAGTATTCAGTCCCTTCCACATACTATTAAAAGTCCTCAGAGAGAGTCGGAACATACCACTTTGTGCTTGACGGTGAGCTGAGCGCCCGGAGAGGATCTTGCTATGTCAGGGAGCCCTGTGTGCAGATGAAGAGAGACATCAAGATGAAATTGCTTAGACTCGTAAGTTAGACACCTACTCCCTTCCTGCTAGCCCTTGACCCACAGAACAGTTAGGGGGGACACTGTGGCTGGCTTTGGGGAGGGACACACATTTCCATGTCTGGAACATCCTTCTGTGGCCACCTTGCTCTTAGAATCTGAGGACATGGAGGCGTTGAGAAATCTCAAGGCTGTGCTTTGTCCGCACCTGAGATGTCAGGTGCCTCGTAGAGCTCCCACGCTCTGACACACTTTTCACCATCGTCTGAGCAGGGCTTCAGAAAGCTTACTGAGCTACACCACCACCACTGTAATCCGAGTGTCTTTTTCCTCAGACATTGTGGAGGAGAACAGGGAGAGCTCGTCTTTGGGAATATGCTTAGTTAGACATTTTTCCTTGCAAGCTCACACACTTGACAAAACAGTGCAATTTGACCTCCGCTTTCTAATTAAGGATGTTCCATTACCCTGACTTATGAGTCGCCCCACTTCCGAGGTGTAAGAGCTAGTGAGAAGGCTTGGCTGATGAGACTATCTCGTAACTGCTAACTAATTGCGCCTTCAGAAACCAGGCCCTTAACTACTGTGCCAATGCCGAGCGCCCCACACTCTTGGTTTTAACTGCAGACTGTCAAGACGGCAAGTGTAGGCTGGTAAGCCCCTTCCGTGGCTGAAGCAGAGACATTCTAGCGTGGAAGGGTTCTTCTGAGTCATCTACTGGTGTGTGTCATGGCGGCACTGCCAGAGACTTTTGTGATTCCGTTTTTCACTCCGTAGGCTGGCTGTCCATCTCCTACTTGACTTCCCTGAAACTTTAAGTTCCTCCAAGTGAAGGCTCAGGAATGCAATGTCTGGTGATGATGGCAAAGTTCTGTCTGTCATTTTGGAGTACTGCGCATGGTGTATGCATTCAGAGATAGGAGATGTCATGAACATCCTGTAAGGATCTAAGATGGCTGTCACTGTCTGAAGACGTTTTTCTGAAGACCAGGGCTTTCATTGGGTTTTTCAAAGTGTCTCAGAAGCACCAGTCATCACTGTTTTAGACAGTTGTTAGCCATTGGAGAAGATGGCAGATTTCTAAGAATTGAGCATTCAGTAGTCTATGTATGAGCTACACATTATTCTATGATTGGTAAAGTTTTGGGGGCATAGTAGTTCTTCCATGGTCATACATGCAAAAAATACTTTAATGTACCCCTAAAACCCAGCAAAGAGCCACATGCATGCATCAGCAAGTCGACATTCAAGCAGGTGAGAGCCTGGAGCCCGAGTTGGATCCCAAGACCCATGTAGCCAAAGGAGAGAATGAACTCCTGTAAGGTCTCCTCTGACAACGACACATGCACCGTTGCATATGCTACTCCCGATAAATAAAACGTCATATTTTAGGATTCTGATAAAACATGGAGTAAACAGTTACAAAGTACGTAAGAGGATTCTGGAATTGGTTATCACATTCTTTTCACTTTTAAGTTGTGAGCAAAATATTCATTCATCTGCCTTAACAACTAAAGAGAGCTATCCCCATATTTTAAAGAAAGCTCACATCAGGAAAATTTAGGAAAGCCGTGCATGAACATTCCCCAAACATGTTTGAGCTGTAATTAAAGACAGACCCAAGAGCGATGTTTCATCTTTTCCTGTCTTCAGCCACATAGCTCCAGCTCCTGTGGGGGGCAGACCCCTGGTCTACCCAAGTCACTGCTGTGCCCGCAAGAGAGTGCCAGCCTCGCGCTCACAGACAAAACCAGCCCGTGTCATGCTTCAACAGGGGAGTGCACGCAGTCACAGATGGCATCCGTGACCTTCTTAACAACAGGCTTGGCTGCCAAGGTTCCCAGAGTCCAGGCTCTGCAGGGAATTTGGAAACTGTAGCCTGACACTTGAATATTTTCCGGCAAACACATTTAACTATTTATTAGTCGGTTTCCTAATTTAAACTGGGGATGCAATCCGCTAAACAGAGCTCCCAGGGCCTGGAAGGGACCCTGTTGCTCCTCGGTCAGGATTCCCGCGCTGCGATTCTTTGGGCCTGCTGGCAAAGGTCTGCCAGAGCTGCCTTCTTCCTCATGGTGGGACCTCAATTCTGCGCCAAGAGCATATCACTCTGCCCCAATTTTTTTGGTAGCCAATATTATCCTTTCGTCTCTTTTTCTGTTGTTTAAAAGAGATACAGGTTTTTCTCACAACAAAGCATGCAAATTAGCCAGAAACCAATGAATTCCCAGTGTTAGACACACTCCCTCCTGGTTTGCCAGCTCACACCGGCTCACACCCCAAGTCTACATGGAAGCCCTGAGGTGAGTTCAAGTTGCTTTGCTCTCTGCCTTGCACACTCTGGGACAGTGGCGGCTGTCAGGCCCACTGTGCACCGGAACCAGAGGGTGAGAGCAGGGTTAGCCCTGAGGGTGAGAGCAGCGTTAGGAGGGCACTGTGTGCTCCCTGCCTGCTTCCCGATCTCACACAACGGCTTTGCCTTTCCTAGAGATGGCGGGCACACGAGAACGGCCCAGGAGAAACGATGCAGGCTCCCCTGCAAAGCTTGTGGCACCCTAGTCTCCCGTCACCAGGACAGGCTCTAAGGGCGTGTCCTGGAAGGGAAATGGAGAACTCCGACCCTGCCAGGCCGTGGTGCCGGGAAGATGGCTGGAGGAACAGCAGGCCCACTCCAGGGATATACAGTTGAGTGAAGAGTGGCTGATGAGCAGGAAGCCAGCTTGAAAGCTGGCGGATGGGATATCGGGTGCAGTCATGGAGAAGGCATGGGTCTTTTGTAGGTTTGGCGGGCAGATTTCATCCTGTGCTGTCTCTCTGTGGAGCTGGGGGTTGTGAGAGCCTTCCCCTTGGCCCATTTCTGGACATCACAGCAGAAGGAGGCCTTAGAGAGGGAAGAGCAGACCTCTGTGTGAGGGAGGCCCTTGTGCCCAAAGTCCCTCTCTTCAGGAAAGCCCTAACTCATCCGCTGCAGCCTTCAGCTTGGCGCCCCACCTTAGGAGAGAAAGCTTTGGAAATGGTTCAGTAACAGCACAAAGGAACATGTCCCCCAAGGCTTAACACAAATGAAAGCAACGGAGCTTGGGAGCCGTAGGACATCCGCCTTAGTAAGAAATCAAGGAAAGGTCTGCCCTGTGTCTGGGGTCCCAGCTGCCCCCAGTGAACCAACAGTCCACCAGATCTCTCTTCTTCTCACCCCAGAACACACTGACCACCACATACTCAAACCGTGTATGTTAAAGGTTCGCATTTAGGGTTTGCCTGGTGAACTTTTCAGTTGCTGAAATAAAAATCACTATACCCAAAGCAACTTAAGGAAGAAAGGTGAGTTTGACTTGAGGTTCCGCAGGAAGAGTCCATAGTGGCCAGGGAAGTAGGGCAAGAAGGCAGGAAGTTGACTGGTTGCATTTTTCACACATACATCGGAAACAGAGACATCAGATAGGACGTGGGGTGAATTTGTCAAGACTTTGGTCTTTTGGTTTGTGAGACAGAGTTTCTCTGTATAGCCCTAGCTGTCCTGAAACTCAAACTGTAGACCAGGCTGGCCTTGAACTTAGAGATCTCTTCTGGACTATTATCTTAACTATGTAAAGATTTTATTTTGTGACAGAATACTACTTAAACTATATGAAGGTATGTTACATTTGTTTCCTCTGCATTTGTTTAATAAGGATGTGTTGCTGTGCCTGCCTGGGGTACCTGACTACTCTAATGAAAAGCTGAATGGCCAATATTTAGGGATAGGTGGGGCTGGTGGACAGAGAGAATAAGTGTAAGGAGAAATCCAGGCTTGGGGGAGTAAGGGATGACAGAACGAGGGAAAAAGAGAGAGAAACACCTGGGGCTAGCTGGACAGACATGGAGTACGACAGACAGAATGAAAGACAGGCAAAACGCCCCGAGACAAAACGTAGATGAAGAGAAACAGATAAAATTAAATTATAAGAGCTGTAGGGACAAGTATAAGATAAGACTAAGCACTCATAAGTAATAATAAGTCTATGTGTCATTACTTGGGGTTGGTAGTCCGAGAAAGCCTGCCGCTGCCTCTGGAGTGTCCACCATAATGTCCTGGCCCAGCCCAGGCATGCTGTCTAATCCTCTAAGCATGTGTCAATCCAATCCAATCAACAATCAAGACCAACTATGGGGGGGGGCATCTGTTTTCTTTTGAACTCTGTGCAAGATACTGAAGACTCAAATCAGACAAGTTGTTGTCTTCAGGAAGCTTATGTTTTAGACAAACACATACAGAGAAAGCAGAATTCGGGTAATTGTGTTCCTGAAAGAACAGTGAGTAAACGTTCTAGGCAAAAACTGGCTTGGAGTTTGCACATTTCTAAGTGACTAAAATGAAGAGGAAATAGGAGATGACACAGGAGTCATATCCACACACAGCCTTGCAGGGTTTAACCCGAGTCTGAGAGGAAACAAAAGCAGTATCGTCTTCTTCATGCCTTAGTATGCTCCTGTGTAGAAACTGGATGGGGTCATACAGACTTACAAGACATTCTTGTCAGCTCTTGCTGCTTCCTGGGGTTGTTTTCACTAGGGAGAGTGTGTCACTGAAGAATTACAATGGTATTCAAGGAGGAGAAGAAAATGAAGGGTACACATGGTTGAAATCACATGGGATATCACGTATCTTTCCCCTTCAAGCATTCTTTTTTGTTTTTAAACTCTCTGGGTATAGATGTTTTGCCTGCATATATGTGTAACACTTGCATACAGGGTACCCAGAGAGACTAGAATTGGGCTTTGGATCTCCTGGAACTGGAGTTTCAGACAGTTGTGCATAGGGAGAGATCTACATATTCGTGGGGCTGACCACACCCATTTGGGTGTGTTCACAGGTCTGTAGAATCTAGGAGAGATAAACAGCTAGTGGGAGGAGACTCTCTCTCTTTGGGTTCCAGTTGCAGCCTGGAGAGCAGGTTCTCAGCTTTCTTGGCTTCTCACATAAGTGATTTCTCCC